ACACTTTATTTCTTAGTGGAAGTTTAGCTCTTGTCCTTGGTGAATATGAGGAAAACGAGCTTGTGTAGCAAGGATTGAAACCAGTATCTCACTGGTAGCTGACACCGTGAGAACCAAAGTTGGTCTGTCTGTCTTTGTTTTTGCTTTGTTTTTGCTTTGTTTTTCAGAGAGGGTCTCATGTAGCCAAGACTGGCCTTGAACAGCTAATCTTCCTGTTTCTAACCTCACAAGTGCTGTGAACCTCCCTCCCTTTTTCTTTTGTTTTTCTGAGACAGAGTGTCTCATTGTAACAGTCCTGGAACCGCTTTGTAGACCAGGCTGGCCTGGAACTCACAGATCTGCCTGCCTCTGCCTCCCGAGTGCTGGGATTAAAGGTGTGCATGTGTGCCACCATGCCCAGCTCTCTTTTTTAAAAACAGCTTTTCACTATGTAGGCCTGGCTGGCCTTGAACTCACTAAGGTCGGCTTTCCTCTGCCTCCTGAGTGCTGGTATTGAAGATATATTTCACCACAAAAGCCCTAAATTGTATTTCTGGAGTTGTGGGCTTGATGGTAATAATGTTCTTTTCACTGTATTCTTTTTTGGCAGTATTTTCCTTTTTAGACATTAATTCTTAGCATCAAAATTTTGTTCTCAAAATGTTTGAAAAGTAGAAATGGATATGAAAGCTTTGAATAGTTAGTAAGCCACTAGGATTTTAAATATAGAAAATCAGGTTGGATGTTTTTAGTTTGTGGGGGTGTTGCAGTCTGAATGCTGTGTAGGAGTCTTATCTTGGTGAGCAGTAAGCAAACACAGACTTCTTTTAGTTTGTTATTGTGGACTTTCACAGTTCACAATGACATACTGTTGCTATTTCCATTAGGATTAATTTTTACAGAAATAATGGACTAAACTATTCTGAACCTGAAAAAAAATTACATTTCTTTTCAGTGAGAATTACATGGGTATAGAAATTGGTTCAGGATCTTTTTGGTTTTTTTTGTTTTTGTTTTGTTTTTCTTGTTTTTTAATTTTAGCCGTTTGTTTTGAAACAGGAGGAGTGAAGAGCCTATTCAGAAACTCCTGCCCTGCTTTCCTTGTTATTTCTATTTTACACAGCCTTACACAAATCTAGAAATTAGGAAATTGGAACCAGTCTGTAAGAAGGCCTTGAACTTTGACATAATGTTTATTCTGATCTTTGTAGGTTTCAGTCTAGATTCCCATCACACTTGGTAGTCATGTCTCTGGGATGTGCTTGCTCCCATGCTGGGTCTCATTGGCCGTGCTGTGTACCAGCTCATTGGATAGACTTTCCCTTTCTGCTCACCTGCAGTGTTCCTAGGATCAGATGGGGCAGAGTGTTGGTGCCAGGAACGGGAGGTGCACGCTTGCCCTCCGTGGCCTCACTGCTGAGTTGTTAAGTATTCTATTACTTGTCATACTGTCTTTTAATTTCAGTGCCTTTGGCATCCTTGCTGCATCAGGGCATTTTAAGTTTTATTCTTCATCTTTTGTTGCTATTGTTGACTAATGGCAGTTCTTGCCGTAAATGGATAAAGATACTAAAGGAATTGATGTAAATGTAATTAATGAAACAAGACTCTTACACGTCTTCTTTTTCACTTTTTCTGCATGTATTCATACAGTGTACAACTCAGGCTCCTAGGATTAAAAAAAATATAGAAGAAGAGGTGCTTTATCTTAAAGTAATATATATTTCCAAGTCTCCTGACATCCTAAGGACAAAACCAATAAATTTATACTAAGAAAACATGCAGACATAGGAGCTGTTGGAGAGGGAAAAGGTAGGCTAATTATAAAAGTCATAGTTGAGTAACTTGATCTAAAATGACTTTCATTAACTTGGGTGGATCAAGTAGTCAATTTTTATTGGTTTGTTTGTTTGTTTGTTTATTTTTTTGGGACAGTGTTTCTCTGTGTAGCAGCCTTGGTTGGCCTGGAACTCACTTTGTAGACCAGGCTGGTCTTCAACTCACAGAGATCTTCCTGTGAGCACTTCCCAAGTGCTCAGACCAAATATATGTGCTATCACCACCTGGGGGGGATAAAACTCTTTTTCATTTAAAAGAGTCAGACAAATTTAAGGATGTTTGTGTTTTGTCTTTCCTTTGGTATTGCCTTTTACTATTGGTTGGTAGAATTTAACATTTTGTGGTTGCTTTTTGCCTTTCACTCTGTAGTAAGTTGACTGCTTTAGATATATCCCGTGTTATGGATTGTTTATCTCTTTCCTTTTAATAGAGCTTGGCATTTACATCTAGTGGTCTGACTTCAGTCCCAGTAACATTTTGGACTGTAACTTTTTCAAAAGAATGAGAAAATATAATGGGATTTTGTTAGGTGTTGAGGGGATTTTGTTTTTTTGGTAGGTGGTTTGTATTGAGTTGGAGTCTATCTAGCCTCACTGGCTTGGCACTTGGTGGGTTTGGCACTTGGTGGGTAGCCCAGTCTGGTCTCCCCTTCTGTCTCAACCCTGATACTTTGGATAAAGTCGTTTCCATTGGAATTAAAGCTGAACTATGTGCTGTCTACCTGTGTGTTAGCCAGGAGACCCAGCGCTTACTTTCTTACTGTTTCTTGATCAGCAAGCTTTGTTAGGAAAGCATTTATTGAACTACCTATTCAGAGTGCCACACACTCTTCAAGGGACTGGAAAGACAGAGATAATGCTATAGAAGTTCTTTTGAACCAGTAAGAATCAGTGATAAAGTACGTAAGGCAGGCTACTAACTCATTTATGTCTCATTTTATAAATTGCACATTTGTAAGCAGTGGTTTAAATTTAGGTCAGCAATGGTCCAAGTCTTTTTGGTCAAATGCCTCTCCTGGACTGGAAAGGACTGTGTGTGGTCCTAGCAGTAGGGAGGCAGAGGTAGGGAGATGAAGCCATCCTGAGCTATGTGAGGCCCTAGCTCAAAAACAACAACAGAAGTCATGTTATTTTAGTTAACTGTTAAAAATTAGCTAGGTGCAGAAATGTTTAAAACTACTAAGCCCTATATCCTCACTATTTACTAATTTAGTACTGAGGGCAAATTTCACAAATAACCTCTTTGATAGGCATTTCAACAGAGTTTCTCTTTCTTGGTGGTATGTATGAATGCATATAATGCTAAGTGTATAGCAATAAATAAGTAAGCATTTCTTTTTGATTTGACCATAGCTGGGTGTTTGTGAGAGTCTTTAGAAGTGTAGATGGTTGCAGAGTACACTGACGACTTAGCCTGCTGGTGGACACCTCTCACCCCCATTTGCAGTCACATCACAGCACTGTGGGTCTTGTTACCTTTGGTTTAAAATTTATTCTCTAGTGATTACATTTTGTTCTTGCAGAATACTTAGTTTTCTCCCATTGAAACATCACGTAGAGCAGCGGTTCTCAAACTGTGGGTCGCTACCGCTTTCGGGTTGAGCAGACCTTTCACCAGGGTTGCATATCAGATAGTGTCGGGTATTTACATTATGATTCATACAGTAGCAAAATTACAGTTACGAAGTGGCACAAAAAGTTTTATGGTTGGAGGTCACAGCATAAGGAGCTGATTTAAAGAAAGGGCTGCAGCGTTAGGAGGGTTGAGAACCACTGCTGTTGGGGAAAGCAGAGTGAGACTGTTCTGATGTTATAACACTGGTGCTCTTAACTCATGACCTCGTTTAGAAACTGTACATTTGATAAAATCATCAAATCCAAATTTTTAACTTGTAGCACTTTAAAGAACACCAGGTTCCTTGAATGATTTCAAAGTAATTTTTATTTAGCAAAATCTGTGTGTTTACTCATTGCCGAGTAAGAATCTGCTGAAGTCCTGATACTTCAGGCAGAAAAAAGAAGCATTCTGAATGGAATCTGATGTTGGGAAGTTTACAGATTGCTTGATTTCTTGAACCAAGTCATACTGACCTTGCTTTGTAACCTAACGTAAAGGCTTAGGGTTTTCTTTTCTTTGGTTTTGTTATTTTGAAGCTAAAGTAACTGTGCTTTTAACATATATTCTGGAAGGTACAAAAAAATAAAGCTTTGGAGGTGGTTAGCTTAAAGTTCCTGCTGAAGTTGTAAACTTAACCTAATGTTAAGCTGAGCAAGTTGGTTCTAAACTTACAAAGATTGTCATGTGTGTTTGTTCAGAACGACCCTTCACCTTTCTCCAGTTCTCACCCAGCTGTGTGCTAGGATTGGTTATTATTTGACAGACAATTGAGGAGAAATTTGGAAAAATCTCAACCTTTGTTTATGATTTCCAAATAATTCTTTTAAAACTACCTTGATTGTTACAGTTAAATTTTACTTCAATTTCGGTAATGTAGAATTCTTAAATAATCCTTAGTATCACAAAAGAGAGGGTTTGCCCATAAAATTAGTTAGAAAAAAATTAGAGGGTTATTGTCCCGTAATATTTGCTGCATTTCTCTAGCACTTAGCTTGCGTTGCAGAGGTAGAAGGGAAGAATGAGGCGGCTCTCTGACATGCTGTTCTCATGAGTTACCAGGAAGGTAATTGTGGGATACATTTTCTTAGTCCTAAGACGTACCTAACCTAGAGTACGTTTGAGATATTCCACACTCAGGTCTTGGTTTTAACTCACACCGCTTTGCTGTCCTCGTGCCTGGTCTCCCGCCCCAGTGTAGTAACGGGACAGCACTGTTTAGAGCACAATGGTGCAGACCCAGGTGTTGGGCTGGAAGGGAGGACGGGCATTGCCACTTGACTCATGGAGCACTCTGGTTATTTATCCCATGTGTCTTTTCTGGGTGGCAACCCTACTTCTCTGTTACTTTCATTTTTTTTTTTCATTTCTTTTAACTTTTAGAAAATTATAGGTTGGTTGGTTAAATTCATCACAGGTTTCTTTTTCCTGGGCCAGATTGTTTTATTTCTCATTTGTGCAGAGATTTGGATATGTTCCTAAGGAAGGGTTCAGCTTTCTTTTTATCTTCAGGCTTTTAAAATTCATTCTAAATGTTGTTAGATAATGGAGTAACCATTTTTTTTCAGCTTTGGTTTGTTTCCAAACTGGCTGCCAGAGCCAGGAGGAAGCGAAGGCAGTATCACTAACTGTTGGTTACTACCTCCTTAATGCTGAGACTATACCCCTTGTTGGTTTGGTAGAGAACAGGAGAGAGCACAGTCCTCGTTCCACAACAGGTAAGGAGCCCTTGTGATCACCACCAGTCCACGTGAGAGGGAAATAACTTAGTAGAATTCCCCCCTTTTTACCCAAAATATAACATGCCCCAGAAGTAGGACACCTTGGCTGAGTAATCAAAGAGCAGGGACAAATGGCACCTTTGTAGTCAGTGAAAGATCTTCAGATTTACAGGAACTTACCACTCTGTACCACAAAGATGATTGGTTGTTTCCCCCAAGGCAATATTGTTAATCCCTATAACTTTAAACACCTGCCTGCCTCTCTGGTTCTCCTTTCAACTTCTCCTTGATCAGATGCTATGTGCTTTAACTTCTGTCCTACAGTAAAGCTATTTTCCAGGATCTTTAGCATCATCTATTGTTTGCTATGCTTTGATGCTTTAATTCCTACATTATGGCCACTAATGATTTATTCCTGGTCCCTCTTGGCTCCAAACAAAATGATCATGCATTTGAAAACTTTAAGTATCTATTATCTATGAGCATTATCCTGCCCTCCAGTTCCAAAGATGAATGCTGGAAAAGAAACCCTTTTCAATGACATTAGTCAGAGCTTTGATAAAATTCAAATTTAACCTTTTTTGGCCATAATATTGGCCTATAGTGTGGATCAATTCTCTCTATAAAGTACTGGAATTTAAACTATTAAATTGAACTTTTTAGATATTCCTAAAGTGTAGTATTCTGTTACTATGATTATTCTTTCTGCTTTCTGATCCATCATCTTCTCTTTGATGGAAGAACTAACAGGGTCTTTTGATATATCTGAGATTGAATGCCTTTTCCCTGTCCCTTTAAGACAATTATGATCTTATTTCCCATCATAATATATGATTTTTTTTTCCTTCTATCTTCTGTTTGAAGTTGAGTGGTTTGTCACAGAGTATATTATGGCTTAGACAAGTACAGGTCCCTTCTTAATAGCTACTAAGGTATTAATTGTTGTGGTAACAGACTTCTAAAATTCAAATTAAGATGGTACTCAAGAAAGTTTGTCCCAAGATAGCTCCTGTTTGTCCTGAGGATAAGCCATTGCAAACTCAAAATGACCAGAGTATGTAATTTTTTTAATAAGAATTTTTTCTTAAATCTATATTCAGCTCTATTCCAGTGCTTCTCTCCTCCCAGAGGTGCAAGGAGTGATCCTAGAGCCACAGATACAGCCAAGACCACGGAGAGCTTTTGACGTCAGGGGTCCACTTTCTCCACTGAACCCTTGGAGACAGAATATCCAGCTTCTGGAGAGAGTGGGAAGGATAAGAAACAAGTGGGTGCTTTCCGTTGTTTACTTGGGTGTCTGTAGAGTGGAGTGTCCTTATGCTGCCCATTTTATTCTGTCGGTAATCTCCTTGGCTTCTTACAAGAACCAGGTGGGACTGCAGTCTTGGTTTTTCTGAGAGTACTATCTAGTGCCCATTGAAAAGACAAACTAAAATTGATTTAATTTCTCTCCAGATAATTAAACCAGTGGCTAATCTGGGGCACACACATTATTTGATCTATGCCTGTGTAGTTCACAGGAATTTAAGAAAAGCAGTAACTTCCCGCTTTGGCCTTTAAGGTAACAGTGAACTGGATAGAGTACTCTTAAAGTCCAGAAACTGAAATTCCTGTCCTTTGTCTTTGGGTGCGGTGGACATCTGAGATCTCCTAAGTTATACAGTTGAATGTCTAGGTGTCACCCTGCCCTGTTAGTGAGGACTTCTTGGTCTTTTCCTACTGTAAATGTTAGGCCCTTCCCACTCAGTCTCTTAGGAGATGGAATGATAGTACTGTTGTGGCTTTACCGTCAAACGTAGGCTTCATTCCTTAATAAAATAAATAAGAATGAACATAAGTTTCAAGATTTAATGTCCCTGAAAGTTATATGTAATACATTCCCAAGTAGTTTTCTAGTCCCTAGGAATGACTAGGGCATTAAGATGGTTCTTTCTTAGTTTCTTTGATGCCAGGGGTAGGGTGTGAGTCCAGGCAGTTCTCACCATCTACAGTGGGTAGAATGTGAAGTTGAAGTTGGTGCTTTGGCAAGTTTTCATTGTTTCCTTGGTGGCTTCCTTCTGTGACTCCAGGTATCTTGATAATGGGAGACCGGTTTATTTGTTCTCTAATTGCCCAGATTTCTTTCAACTGGTAAAACATCATACCTCTTCAGCAAAAGGAGTTCTTCTAGCAGAGCCCACATGGATGATATGTGTCACACATGCCAGGACCTGCAGTTTGGAAGGCAGTGGTGAATGGACCCATGCAATATGTCTAGAAGACACAAGGATGAGCCAGCACCTGATCTTGTTGCTTACAAACTTCTTAAGATTCACTCTGGTTTATTTTTGGTCTGAAAATGGAAAGGCTCAAAGCGAAGTAATCTTTCATATTAGAGTTTTATATGGCCATAAAAATATTTCTTATTCTAAAGACTGAAATAGAGGAAGCTTGAGAGTCTTGTCTTTTAGAGCAGCTCTCTGTATTTGTTTCACTTCAAAGATTTATGGGACTGAAAACCGTTTTAATCAAGTAGGCAACCCCCCACTTTAAAAAGTAGCAGAAAAAATACAAAAAGTGTGATAGGCCCTCTCCACCTCCTCCTCTTTGTTACCCATTGCTAAAGGGGACTAGCAAATAAAGGTGAACCCAACTCTTCAAGAGTCTGTTAATGTTAAGATGTACTCTTAGCTCATCTCTTGCTGGTCCTGAGCCTTACCTTACTGTAATCTGTCAGATTAACAGAGTCTAGAGCTGTCTCAGACCAGTGGAATCCTGTCTGTGTTCCTCAGTAGTAAATGCCTGTTAGGTCTGTCCTCCGCACTGACGCACACTACACACGGATGGTGCAGAGCAGTGGTGTGGGACACAGCTAATCCACAGAGTTCTGCAGAAGCCTGCAGGTGTGAATGAGATCTCCAGTTGACAGGAGCTATCAAAATGCTGGTTTCTTTGGTTATCTAGTAACTCTAGAAACCAGTCAGAGCTATTAAGGAAAACTCTTAACAGTCTCCTGATGCTGCCAGTTCCTTTTAATTTGGAATAAGCTTTAAGAAAAGAAATTGTAGAGTTAATATAAAAACAACTGAGATGTTAGGCTCTCAAAGTGTAATAGCTACATTCGCTAAAAATATAATCTGTTTTTAGTCTTTCGGCTATAAGAACAATTTTTTCTTAGAAATTATAAATCATTTTTCAAAAGTATAGTCCTTAAAAGTAAATGTTAAAGATAATTTTGAACAGAAAATTTTCCCCACAGAGCTCTGAATTCCCTTGAATGATTACAGTTTTGTATTCCTAACTTAATAAGATACTTTATAAGTACATATAAACAAAAACCTGACATTTTAGTAAGAACTCAGGGAACTAAAAGTGACATTTGCCTAGAAATTTAGTTGCATTCTTTAAACCACTGTAGAAACAATTTTATGGCCTGAGGTCATTAGCCTTTTGTCTCAGCACTGAAGACAGAAAGTGGTTTAAGCCTGGGATCTCAAGCTTGAGTTAAGTTCTCTCTGTTCTTAAAGTATGCAAAAGAGATGTCAGTGCGGTTCCATTACCTCATGCACGGCAAGCTATTGCAAAGTGAAACTTTTTGTATGTTACTGTGTACTGATTTGTTGGAACTTTTAATTTTGATGCATTTTCCTTTCAGATTTTAAAGAACAATTTCGTGTTACAATATGCAACCCTATATCATTTCCGTGTTTATTTTATGAATATTAATATAAGTTATTTTTTTCTAGAATGATTAATTGTGTAATATTTGTATTATGTGATCATTTGAAAACTAATAAATATTTTCTCCATGGAAAAATGCACTTACTGATAAATGACTGATTTTTGTTTCAGGAATAGAAAGTGAAAATTGCAACCATATTTTTAAGTGTAATTTAATGTGTCTTTTGCTAAGTATTTCTGGTTTATATTGTCTTCTGTCTAATTTTTTTTTGATAAAAAATTCCTCTAATTGTTAAAATTCTAGAGTCAGTATGGTAAATAACAGGAGTAATTTAGTCAAATTTCTGAGATTAAATTGATCAAAATATAACCCCTTAAAAAAAAAACATACATGAATAGTCATAAATAGTCCGCTCAGAGCAGAAACCATTTGAAAATGAAAGCCGATCGGAGAACTACCCAAGTCATGAGTCATTCCCAGGAAAGGTTTTCTGTTTCCTGTTGGCTTGAACAAATACCAGCTCCTGACTTCACAGTCTGTTGCTTTTAACCTTATCTAGACAGCGTGGATGATTCTTGTCTTCATAACTAGATACGTTTGCTCACCTGACGCTGGCAGCCAGAGCAGTCACCCCTTGTGCAGTCTGTTAGAACGAGGTTGCCTTTTGGATTTGAAGTAAAGTTCGGAGCACGGACTCCAGCACTTTAAATCACGTAAGATGGAGTCACCTAAGAAATAAAGCTCGAGACTTGACAGCCAGGGACTTCAATTGGGCCTCTCAAGGAAACGATACTCTGAGCAAAACGAGTGCTATAAATGGATACTTTAATGTGGAATAGCTTCTACTTTGGGGCAGGGGAAATGAAGCCAAGATTTTTTGGTTTTGTTCACCTGGTAAGTTTGGAAAAAATGAGTCGAAGTTTGTACTAAAGTGCGAAGTTCTTAATGCTGGGATTAATATTGTTGTAAGGTTCACAGCCCCGATCAGCGGAAGGCTGTGTTTTCTCTACACAATCTTTTCTGTATGCATTGGAAATTTTAAAACCATTGCGAAAACATTGGTGAAACAAGAGCTTTACGTGCTCCTTTTCCATGAGCTCTTCCTTCAAATACAACATTGCACAGCGGGAATGTTCACCGTTATCTCCAGAATTCAGGCACGGGCTATGGCTTCACCACCACTGATGAGCTTAGCCATGGTGCAAACATGTTGTTGTGTTTTTTTTCCTTTTTGTCTGATGAAATAAAGGTTGGGCTTTTTTTTTTTTTTAATTGAAAGGGGGTGGGTCTTTGGAGAGCTGCTTTCCTATGAAAAGTCACAAGCCAGTGACTGGAAAGTACTGACCTTTGAACTTACTGCAGATGTGCGCACATCTCATTTTCCTCTGCTCTGTTGAGCAGTGCAGGTGCTCGAATGCCCCAAGCAAGGTCTTTTTTCATTCAGTTGTTTTTGTTACCTGTGAAGAAGATTTCATATTAATTGGGTTCTAAATGTGAAAAATTCCTGTTTCAAGGTGGTCACACAGGTGCCCCTGGAGGTTTTCCACTAATGTATACACCTAAGGCAAATTAGATTCCTATGAGTGAAAATTCTACAGAAGTTTGAAATGTGCACTGGAGTTTTCAGACATTCTGATGAAAGGGATTCTCAGCACAAGAGGTAAGGCACGGCACAGATAGAGGACCCTTCAGAATGCGGCCAGTGCAGTGGCCACAGGTGACACAGGCCTGCCAGCTTGGCTGCTCTGCAGACAGGTAAAGAGGTAGGAAAGCAATTTTCCCAGAAACTTTCCCAGAGCACAGAAATAGACAAGCCACAAATTTGCTTTTACATGTGTGGGGTTTATTGAGAACTATATCGTAGACATTGTGTCCTCTTTTATGCACACATAACCTCTAATCTCATAAGGTGCCAAGGCAGCTTCTGCCTTTTCTCTGCTAGTGTTTATGATCCATATTTAATGTTTTATCTGAAACACAGTCTTCCTGTGTGACACAGGCGGTCCTCAACCTCCTGAGGATATTACAGGTGTGTGTCACTGTTGCTGGCCTTTGATTTTCTGCATCCTGTGAAGGTACTGCACCTGGCCCGGAGTGTCAGTGTTCCTCCGTTATCGCCTGGCTTCAGTCTGCCTGTATCTTCCTGCTTCTCTTTCTTCACACTTAGGATTCAGAAAAATACTAAGTCTTTATTTTGGTTGATAAATTAAGGGGTTTTGCAAGTATTCACTTAAAGTAACTTGGGAATCCTTTATTTCCAAGATTAAGAAATAATATCTGGTATATAAATAACTGAAAGAAGAAAGTGACACTGTTACATTCTTTAAGGACAGCTAAATAGGTTCAAAACTTTGAATGTTAGTACAGTACTTAGTATATCTGAGAGAAATTAATTCTCAACTATGGATGAGATGGGAAAAGAGGTTAGAATTTTTCTTAAGATCTCCAGTGAGGTACTATAGAAAACAACATGATCCTACATGGCATTTGAGTTTTCTTAGGAATTCTAGCTTGTTGATATTTTGTTTCTACTTTAATGTAAAACAGAATAGTTGCTGATAAAATCAGTCACCATTTCATGGTTCTGAGTTTAGAATAGTTTTGGAAAAAACTTGACCCAGAATTTGCTCCTGTGTACTTTTTAAACTTGACCTTCAAATTGACCAGTTTATCCCCTCTTTACATGCTTCTTGATTGATACAAAGAAACAGTATATATAGCATTTCTAATTCCACACCATTGATAAATAATAAATGTGTGGAAGACTCAGCTACAGCTGGGACATAGGTGTCATGTTACCAGGTCTTACTTGTCCTGCTTCTGGATGACAAAACAGGTGTGGTCCCTTTCGTACATGGCAGTCTCCTGTCGGCGCTGAGCCCCCTTTCCACTCACGAAGCATGTTTGAGAGTCTTAAGTACAGCTCTGAACATGGATTTTTCCTCATTGTTTCTCAGTGATCAGCCCAGCACAGCATAGATGTGTCCAACTTTTAAAACCTGACCTTGCTTGTCCACAGGCTCCTCCTATTACTTTGCCCTGACACTTAATTTTATTAGCTAAGATTTTCCTAAGCAGATAATGTTTATAAGTGATGCACAAAGAAATTATTCTGTTTGTAAAAATCAGGTCAGCAGTCAGAGACTGTACAAGGTGCATAATTTATTAAAAGAAGAAAGTTAAGGTGACAGCTAAGACCTTGGAAAATCAGATTACAAAGTATAATCTCTATTTAAGGTCTTTTTGGTTTGCTTGCTTAGTTCTGACATAAATAACTGAATTATGTATTAAATGACCTATATAATATAAAATGTTACCTTTCAGGGTGTCCTTGCAGGCTTAAAGGGTAATCAGGCCTTTTGGAGCCAAACTGTGGTTACATCCCTGGCATTGAGAAGAAGATAAGCTTGTGTTTAGTGAGAAGCAGTGCTTCCTTGGGACAGTTTGGGAAGTGTACCAAAGCACCGAAGACGGTGAAGAAGTAGACGTGGAAACCTGAGCCCTAATGCAAATGCGGTCCTGTGCTGCATACTGAACTGGGCAACATCCTTGGAGCCTAGCAGTATTTGTAGTTGCCAGTTAGAATAGTTTCTCACCAGAATACAAAAGTGACCTCCAGGAAGACATGCGGCACTTACTGGTCTCAGGAGTACTGGTGGGTGCCCAGATCCACAGATGCTCAAGTGCCTTTTATAAAATGACGACTGTGTGTGTATCCACCCACATCTTCCCATGTGTTAGAGATTGCCTCTAGATTAGGTGATACACTGTCAGTGTTAAACCTCATTGATACTTAGGAGTAACAACAGAACAAGGCTGCACGTGTAAGTGAGACACTAATGTTTTCATTCTGAAGCCTTGGGGCCATGGGTACAGAGGAGGCCTGTATCCTACTTTAATGGAGATAGAATTTTGGAGAAAACAAGAATACTGTTTAGGTACAGGAGACACCCTTTTGGGGTCCTTCACCTATGCTTAGCCAACAGTTCGGCTAATATGTGAGAATTAGTATTGTCATTTTATATGCCAAGCAACTCCAAGGTTGCAAAACCTGCCCAAGAACATACTGTCAGTGGGCAAAGGAGATGGCATTTGAACGCAATCTGTTAATCTAAAGAATTCTAATGTCTTTGTTTACCAAAAATTTTTGCCCCCAAAAGGCCGATTTTCAGGACAGTTTTCATTTAGAATTGTAGTATCAGGTCTAAAAAGGATCGATTTACTTAGTGTGCACTTAGACTTTCCAGAGCTATTTTGGAATTGTAGGAAAATATACCAGACAGTGAAGTGGCCGTCTCCTCTCTACTGCCCTTCCCATCTTATATCAATGTGGCACACTTGAAACTGGTGAATCAACTTGGGCACCTTGTTAACAGTCTACATTACTGCCCCTGCTGCCCTTGGCCTATTGCACACTGTCACAGATGGACTGACAGCATCAGAAGAACTTCACTGCCTTAGGAGTCTCCTGGGCTCTCCTGCCCATGCTGTGACTGGGTCATATGGTAAGCCTTGCTCAGCTCCATCCTATACAAACTGCCAGACTGTTCTGAAGGCAGGCGCTTAACTGACTGGGCTAGCCCCCAACCCAGGAAGGATTTTGTCTATACTGGTAGTTTGTATTTTAGAAATGACTAAGTGACTGAGTCATTACCACCAGCCATGACTGAGTGAGTCGTCCAGCCCCACCTAGGTGGTGTCTGGTTCTGGCTGTTCTAACAGGTGTGGTAGTATCTCACTGTTTCAGTTCATAGTTCTCTAGAAATATTCCATAAGGTCCTTTTCATCTCTGTTAGCTTCTTTGGTCTTAGGTATCCGAAGGGCTTTTGCCTGCTTGAAAGTCAGCTAATTGATTTTGACAAGTGTCTGGTGTGTTTTGCATACCAGTCCTTCTTCAGATGTATGTTTGGCAAAATTTACCCCCTATTCTGTGGCTTCCGTCTATTTGATGATGTTCTTTTCAAAGGGGCATTTTCTTTTTATTTATTTTAAGGACAGTCCATCCTGACACTTTCCCTTCAATGAGTCATGATTTGGTAGTGTTTGTAAAACGTCATTGCAAATCTGTTCACGTAGATTTTTTTCCCCTTGGGTATCTCCCCAGAGTGAGTTGCCCTTGTTGCTGTTCCTGTTCCTTCT